TGTGCTTAACACATACTGCTGCTTCTCCCTTAAATAGCTTCTACTTCCTCATCCATTTACTGTAATAAGAAGATTCCTTTTGAAACCTGGTTGAAATCTCACCTCATACAAGTATCCATGACCTTCCTAGACCTCAACATACCTTATTGAAACTGATTAATGGTTATCTCTTCATTCGTTTTTTTTCACCACACATGGGTTGAATGTTTGCTATGCTACCAATGCTGTAGGTGTACAAGATGAATAGGATATAATGCCTCTTCTCAAGGAGCTAGATTTATTCACAATTAGACAGTACTGCCATTGGGTATGTAATTGTGGAAAATAAACAGTGTTAAAGAACCTCATAGGAGAAAGGAATTGATTCTGTAAATTCTCAGAAAGCTTCAGGGAGGTGGTGGCATATGAAATGAGCCTCAAAAAATTTTTCCGGTTCATCCTTGTATACGCAAAGCTTCCCTTCATCTTGCCCACTTTCAGCTAAATACTCTCAAATATTTCGGCTGAATTGCCACGTCTGCATAAAGCATGGATCATTGCCATGAGAGACTCACCCAGCCCACAGCTCACCTCTCCCACTTGGACATCCACTCCATCGAAACCATCCCTGGTTACCTCTTCCAGTGGGTGGACGTTAGCAGAAGGACATTAAACCAACTTGGGTTGTTGGTGGACAGGATAAACAGATTCCATTTTACCCTTGTCTAGACGTGGGTAAAGTGAGTGCACTAAAAATGCCACATAAACTTTTTTTGGAATGTTATGTCTCCGTGAATCATCTGCCTTAATTAGGCTGGTTATTCTGTGTCCATTTTTATGTGACTGAGAGATCCACTATCTGACAAATTTACAGACCCAGAGAGAAACTTCTGGGAAAAAGCTCATACTTGCTGGACACTAGCTCCAGTAAGCCACAATGCTGATTTTTCTATTTCTGAATGATGCAACCATGGCTGCAGATTTAAAGTCATCTTAAAACCTTCTAGCTTGTTAAAAAATCTTTGGTGACAATGTTTTTAAGCTTTCTGCATGACATAAACCCTCTTTAATGGTGGAAATTTAATGAGACAAGGGCAAACCTGTGTACAGCTTTTCCAGATACTATTTTTGAAAACCCAGTTTGACTAGTAGAAATTCAAAACAAAACAAAACAAAAAAAAGGAGAGAGGATAGTCTATTTTCTTGTCTCTTGGATTGATCCCTTTAAAACATAAGTCATTTCATGTCACACCTCTTCTCTTAATCCTACAATGACTTCTTAGAAAATAAAAGTTCTTTCTGTGGCTTAAAAATCACTCTACAGCTAGATACGATGGCTCATGCCTGTAATCCCAGCATTTTGGGAGGAGGGAGGATTACTGGAGTCCAGGAATTCAAGACCAGCCTGGGCAACATAGTGAGATCCTGTCTCTAAAACAAAGAAACAAACAAACAGCAACAACAAAAATACCCATAATGTTCTCTCACTTCCCGCCTTTCTCTCCCTCACACATGATGGTCCAGCTACGCTGGCCTTCTTGCCAGTTCTTGAACCTACCATGTGTGTTCCCATCTCAGACCTTTGCAGTGGCTCTTCCTTCTGGCAGGATCACTCTTGTTCAGATGCTTACAGAACTCTCTATCTTATTGGGCTCAGATTTCCACTCAAATCTGCTCCAATGCTACCCCTAAAAAAGTCTTTTGATAGGTAATGGTATCCAATAAATACTCATTGCATGAATAGATGGAGGGACTTACCTTTCCTTTGCTTGGAGGAGCTGGGTGAGGCTTCGTGATGGTATCCATGGTGGCACAAGACGGAGGTAGCATAATTTTTATAGAAACCACACAGAACTTGACATAAAAGATTTGGGACCTTCTCTATCGGAAATACGACTTTGTATAGGTCTGAGTGTCGGTTTCCTCTGACCAAATGGATAAAACCCAAATTGATATGATCAATAGAGAAAATGTTTTCATACATCTGAAAACTTGAATATAATTATTGCCGTCTCTTTGGGCCAATATGCAAATATTACAAAAGCTAAACCAGCAATTCAAATGAAAATATACCACTTTCAGAGCTAGAAAAACTCTCCTAAATAGCTCATGAACTTCTAGTCATCCTTAAAAACTTAAATGCAATTTAAAAAAATGAGTTGAAAGGCTGTTATACACCAACAAAATGTACTGTTTTCGTATACGCATACGTACAAACACAGTTATAAGCATTGCTTTCTTGTCTTTTAAATCTCAGTCTTTATAAAATTAGCTAGGATTTTCACATTGGTTCTTTCTCTGAGGAGTAAGTAGATGTGCTCATCTCAGCTGGTTACAAGTTTTAATTTCATAATATCCCTGGCCATCTCTTAATATAATCTTTGTGAGTCAT